GTCCAACTCCGAATACCCACTCCCTCATGTTCAGTTTTGTTTACATATATAATTTTTGTTTTCATTTCATTCGATGCTGGTCACGCTTTGCCAGAATAATACGAAAAAGCCATAAAGTATTAAGCAGTAGAGATTACAATGAGATGGATCGGAGGCAGGGAGAACTTTCTATATGAAAAGGGGTGCATAAGTAACAAATTTTAATTAAATAACTTAAAGTTCTGACTTTTGCTTTAGGGAATTTCCTTTATAAGCAATAAATGGAGGGAGTTTGATTATAAATCTTACATTTTATTATGCCAATAATCCAATTTAATTGAAAATTCCATGCCTAATGATTATTATTAACCAAAATCAGCAAAGCTGACTATTCATCAAAATAATTTTATTTAAAAAAATTATAACATATCACACAGCTGATATTTTTCTACAAAATGAGAAACAAATAACTGAAATTAACAGAAGAACCAAATAAATGCCTGTTAAATTTATTCACGGAAAATAAATTAGAAATTAATATAAAATATCTACTCTAATATATAAATTTCAATTTAAAAAATATATAAGCACATTCTTCTATTATCTCCTCCTACAATAAAAATATTTCTCATAAAATTGTCTATCATGAGGAACCGCTCCCCAATTTGCAAACTTAATTTGATATTTCAAGCCCAATAACCGGCTTTCAGCGGACTGTCAATAAATCAACGAGCGAGCATGTTCAACAAACTTTTCACACTCCATGGTAGAGACTTTCATCTAACATTAAAAAACATTTCAACACACAATGGAGCTGCTGCCAAAAGGAATAATGCCCATTATCTAACTTTATATCCATGACAGGAAATCGGTGGAAAAAATAAATCCCTTTCAACAGAGAATCGATATTTTTTTCACCCAACAGCTTACATATCAAACAATTTTGCTCGGTTCCTCTTGATTTACATATCGAACTGGCCGGGGCTCACAAAACAAAAAGCTATAAAATATCAATTTATTGCTTTATAATTGAAGGCAATAAATGTTTGTAAAGAGAGTATAACTTTTGGTGGGCGTTTGCGGGTGTGAATCGAAAGGTGGGGAATTTGTGGGGCAATTCAGGCGAACAGAGAAAGACAAAACTGTAATGACATCAGTACGTCATTCAGCCAGTTGATCCATTGAACGCAATTCCATTGAATTCAATTCGAGTCAGCACACAGCACACAATATTTCTGTTTTGCTTGGTTTTTCAATTTGCAATAAATTTGCCTCCAAACTTAACTACATTGAAAATAATCGGTCGAGCGGCATGAGATACAAAAAAAAAAACCCAAATAAAAAACCTAAAAATGTGAATTGCAAATTTCATTTGATATTGTTTTGTATTCCAAGGTTACTCTGTGTGTTGGCAGCTTTTTTGTCATAAATATTAGAAATCAATTGTCTGTTTGGCAAGCTTGTATTGAATTTGTTTGTAAGAGTTGGAAATATTGTTTTACAATTAAGTTAAATTTATAAAAGAACTACTTTTAATCGGTTTAAATATGGGCTTGCTCTAGAATCGAAATATATTTGCAACTATATAATTGAATTTGAAATAAAGTTATGGGCTATAATCATCATCGAAATTCTACCAACTTAAGTCAAATTATTTCTCCATCATAAGTTTGCAAGAAAAGTTTTCGAAAAAACTTTTCCAAGAGGAAAGTAATAAATATCATTCAAGTTTTCGTTTCTTTATGTTCCACCAATAAACTCAGTTGAATTGTTTTGGTTCCCATCGAAAAGTACAAACAGTCAATAAAAAACAAGCCACAGCAACAACAGTAGCAGATAGACAAGACTTTAGGTGAACACTATACAGCTATGAAAGAGTTTTTCCGGGGAAAAACAATTTGCAAACAACTTTGGCAAAACAAACAGCACACAAAACGATGCTGCCTAATAACAGGCATTGGGCCAACTGTTTGTCGGGGGATTATGGCCAAAAGAAGGAAGGGAGGGGCCTAGAGGGATGGTCATCAGCACATATTCAGAAATATACTTCCTGGTAAACAAAAAGAAATGCTAAAACTGCACTTCCAATTGCAACTGAAGAGAGGTTTTTCCAAGAGCCGAAGAGCGAGAGGGGCAGCCAAAGAAATTGCAGTAATTGACACTGAAAATGTGGCTGCCGTTCGGAGCTGGAAAATGTTGACGGCTATGATGATGCTGCTTCGTTCAAAGCTGATGATGCTGCAGTTATCTATGGCACAGCAAAATATATATTTAATTGCCCACAGAAACAGTGGTATGGTTAGAAGGGGTAGAGCTGAGAAGTTAAATGATGAGATCTCCAATGAGATTGATGGTTTTTTCTTATGCTTGGTTAGAAAAGCAGACAATTTGTCAGCTTATTTTTAAGTCTATTTGAAGATAACAGTCTGTAATAGTGATATCTTAAGATATAATATGTTAAACAAATAGAGAATTACCTACAAAAAATCAGAAAAGACGCAGAAATAAATATTTTAAAACTCCTAAAAAGTGTCAAAAAGTATGAAATTTTATTCCGAAAGGCAAGCTTATTTTTCACTGCATACTTTTAAGCACCAATATAAAAATAGTCAAATTCCTTGGGTATTTTATGACACCTTCGTTTATTTATCATTTTGGAGTAGAAACTCACTGAACTTTATAGGAAGAAACATTAATAATTAATCAATCTTATTATTATAAAACAATTTTAATATTATTGTTACTTCAAACCCCTTTTGTCCTACGCTTCTGCCTGTCATCCCAACATAGACATTTTCAATTGTAGCAGTTCCACTTGCTTTTGCCCCAGCCTCGACACTTGGGAGAGTGTGTAGTTAATGAATGCAAAGAGTCTAAAGCTCAATTAATGAAATTTCATTTAATTATCAGCGGGGTGGCAGTCAAAATTGGCTGGGGATGAGGACAAGTTGTGCCCCCGAGAATTCTCCATGTTGAATGACTGGCGGCAATCGTACGTGGCATAGAGCATCGACATAGGCCCATTTAGAACTAGGCTCAATTTTGCTTGGGTCCTTTTGCCATCAAGCCCATTTTACAGTTGGCCTCATTTGTGGGTCACATGCAACAGTTTGTCGTACACTAGGCAAAGGCAATTTGCCGTCGTGACTTGCCACATCGATCAATATTGTGTGCTGCGTTGGCTGCCCGCTCGGCAATTAGTCTACGGGGAGGCACTAGCTGTCCTTCATTTATATGGCAATTAAATTCCGCATTGAGAGCGAATGCGGCGATGTCTTGAGTGCCTCCTTGTATCTTCGCCAGAGGCTTTCCATTTCCATTTGCCACACTGAATAAGATGCGATGAGTTATGTATGTCCTCCGAAATGGAGGGCCTATGTTTGCTTGAAAGTGTTTCTCGTTGAATTGGTAATGAGATATTTCAGTTGACAAATAGATGATTCTAGGTCTGGAATATAAACAAGGCTTGTTTATCTAATAAATTATATAAATTGTAAAATGACTTTCCTAGTGGAAGCTATACATTCGCCAGATTTATTTCTGTTTTAAATATGAGTTATTAAGATAAATATTATATTACAATGTTTAAAGTTTTAAGTTTAAGTATAGGCTTGGAAGTGATTTGTATGAACTCAAGAATAATTCCAAAACTAAAAGTTAAAAAAAGTCACATTATAACATCTCAACATTGTAACATATCTCACCTTCTCTAACTGAATTATAATATTTTGGTACCACTTAAAGCAGAAACTCGCAACTTTTTATGAACTTCAAACCCAATGATTAGCCGCTTACATAACTTGTAATTAGCTTAAGTCGCCACACACACTTTGAGTTTTTCCTCATCAGGTCTCGGCCGAAAACCGATTAGAACAAGTTAATTACAGTAATCGGCTGAGAAAGTTGTTCAGAGCGTGACATAGTTGAGCTTTTTGTGCATTCCGTGAGTTGTCTGGTTTTCCGAAAGCCCAGTTCACCTGTCAATTTGCATAAATCGTAGAAAAAGGCAAGTCAAATCAAGTCGAACATTGCAGTAATTACTCACACAGCCGAAAATAACAAAAATCGATCAGTAATTACACGCAAGCCGCTGCCAATTCATATAATTGTCTGCCGGACCAAGACGGCCATCAATCAGAGACTTCTTCTAAGAAGCGATGCAAATGGCTCTCGGACAGAGTGAGTCGCGGTTTCACACAAAACTGACAAATGACGCAGACCAAAAGGTGGTACATAATAGCCCTGCACACGGGGAAAAATGTTAAATTTATTTAGTTTCTAATTCATATGTGAAGTGAGCTCTGGTGTTATTTAATAGGATTTTTCTTTATTTTAAGAATAGCTAACATAGTTGTTCCAAAACTTAATATACCTTTAATTGTCATCTTAATAATTTGTTAATTCGAATATATTAACGATATTTTTTCTAATATTTGTTTCTTGTTCTAATCTAACTAGTTTCGACATAACATAAATTACTTTCCATTCAGAAAAAAAGGAGATATATTGACTTTAAATTATAGAATACAAACCAAGCCAATATTAATGTTTTAACTTAAAGGGGATTTTAGTTAGGACATTTAAGTCAGCCTTCTTGATAAGATCCAATTCACCAATGATCAACTTAAGAAAGATACAAGATACATTCTTCTCTGTGTAATCCCTACTCAAACGCTGTCTGTCTCTCGACTCTCAACGATCGAGTTGGAAAACTGCAAGCGACGTCCCCGCTAATTGATTTCGAGCGAGTGATTTGGCACGTTTGGTTGCAGTTCATTAGCAAAGTTGGACTGCACTGAGTTGCGTTTTTGGGTTGGGCCCTTGCGATAGACAAGACTCGAGTCTGAATTCCGACTTGGCGTACCAAAGACTCATTTTTGGGTTGGGTCTGACTATGGCGTTGGCCTACAATCTGGCACTGAAGCCGGCCGACTTGGCTCGAGGTTAACCGAAGAAAGTTGGCAACTATTTTGGCACTAATGGATCTAACCATTTCTCTACTTTTTTTTTACCTGCTCTAGATGAACGACAACACATACAGAAGAAAACATTCACGAAATGGATCAATTCACATCTCATCGATACCCAGTGCACGCCAGTGAAGGATTTGTTTTTGGATCTGCGGGACGGACACCGATTGTTGGCCCTGCTGAGCACCCTGACACAAACACACTTGGTCAGTATAGATCACGAATGATTAATGACTAAAATGTATAAAAGAGATTGCTTTTCTGTTCTTAAGTGGTAAGAAGTTTACTGTGGGCAGACTCTTAGAATTAATGTCTGCTGAGATGAAATGAAAAACAGAAACGGCCCCCTAAATATAGACCTTTCATAAAGCCTTTGGCTTGAAGGCATTACGTTTTTCCCTAAACATCTAATATATAAGTTATATACAAAATCATATCCTGAAAAGTATCTCTTAAAGTTCTTTAAACAATATCTCAAAAAAAGCTTAACTTCATATTGCTCTTGCTATAATATACTTTTCCCAAAATTTTCCATTCCCTGTAGAAACCCGAAAAGGGTCGAATGAGAGTACATCACATCAACAATCTGAACAAGGTGATTACCGTGATCCAGCAGCATGGTGTCAAGTTGGTGAACATCTCCAGCGATGACATAGTGGGAGGCAATGCCAAGCTGACCCTGGGCCTCATCTGGCTGATAGCGCTGGAGTTTAATGGCCAACATCTAGTCAAGAGTCATTCGAGCAACGGGGTGGAGAAATCCCTATTGGCCTGGGCACGTCAGTATACGGAACCACATGGCCTGCAGCTCAACGATTTCTCCAGTTCATGGTCCGATGGACGAGCCTTCCTCATGATCCTGGATGCTCACGTGGAGGAGCTAAATCTGCCAGCGGCCTTGCAGCAGCATGCGTTGCAGAGACTTCATTTGGGTTTCGATTTGGCACATCGACACTTCAAAATTGAAAAGCTGCTTGATGCTGAGGATGTTCATACCCACAAACCGGATAATAAATCTATACAGATGTATGTGATGTGCCTGTACCATGCCATGGAATCCATGAGGACAAGGGAGCAGGAGCATGATGAGGGGCAGGATCACGATCCGGGAAGAGTGCCCTGCACTAGCATCACTGACTTGGATGAGGTGCCACTGGACAATGATCGTGCTAGTTTGGGTCTATATACTTCAGATAGTGCTGGCAGCATGGAGCAGAGGTCTTCGGCGGAACTGAAGACACACTCCATACGCCCCTTGAGCACCGCCACCAATGCCAGTGTGGAGATTAGTGGCTATCAGTCAGCTCTTGAGGCAGTACTTACCCTATTGCTAGAAGATGAGCAGCTTCTGTCACAGGATCTGCCCGATCCGCAGGATTTCCAGACAGCTAAACTGCAATTTCACGAAAACGAAAGCTTTATGCTGAAGCTAACCGAACATCAGGAGTATGTGGGAGAGGCTTTGGAAGAGGGAAGCAACCTCATCAACGAATCCCAGAAAGCAGGAACTGGTCTGAGTCAGGAGGACCAAAACGAAGTGAGGCAACAAATGGTGTTGCTCAACGAACGTTGGGAAACCTTGAGATTGCGAGCCCTGGACGTCCAAGCCAAAATCCTAATGCGATTGGCAGAGTTTCAGAAGCAAAAACTCGAACAACTTCGGCAGTTTCTAACAAGTGTTGAGGATCGTATTTCTCATATGAGTGATATAGGACCAACTCTGGGAGAAGCTGAGAAGCAACTGGTTGAAGCTCGAAAACTAAAAGCCGATCTTAGCGAACAGCAAGAATTGGTGGATAGTCTGAGTAGTATGGTGGTTATTGTAAATGATACCTCGGGCAATTTTAATGATCTAGAAGACCGTTTGAGTGCTCTGGGCGAGCGATGGTCGCATGTGGTTAAGTGGAGCGATCTGCGAACCGAGAAGCTGCAACAGTATAAATGTATCTCCAGATGGCTGGATGCCCGCGAGCAGGATCTCAAGCTGATGGAGAGCAGGGATGTCACAGATGTCGGCGGTATTACCCAGCGTATTAACGAGCTTAACTATTGTGCCAAGGATCTGTTGGAACTTCAAAGATATCTGATAGATCTGCGTCAAATGGTGGCTGCCACTTTGCAGGATGGTGATGACAAGGGTGAAAGGGTTCTCATCCAATTGGAAAGCTATGAAGACCGTTTAGATGCCCTGAAACAAATTGTTGAAGTACAAACGGTTCGAATAGAGACCAAGGGCTTTAACTTTGGACGAGATCGTGCCAGTTATGATGACAGTAGGGTGGTCCGTCCTGAGGGCTGGGTGGATTACCAGATGATCATTCGCTTTGGCGATGAGGAGTCTCAGGAAGACGAAGAGGAGCATGATTTGGCCAGCAAAAAGCGAAAGTTAAGGAATGCTGATAACTTTTATGCCTTGGAAAATCTGATCATGGAGCATTTTGGTTATGTCCAGGAAGTAGAGCAAAAGCTACAGCAAATACAGAGACAAAGTCTGCGGCAACAATGTGATTTACTCAAGGAACTTCAGGCGGAGAACAGCCGACGTAGTGGTACTTTACCCGAACTCAAGAAACTCTATGAAGTCTGCGAGCTAGAGGATCCGTCGAGGAATCTTCTCCTGGAGGAAACCCACATCAAGCAGCTGGAGCAGAGATATGCTACCCTGACACAAAAACTAGCAAGCCAGCAAAGCGAGAGCTCAACCCTGTTGGCCAAGGAAAAGTATTACAACAGTCTGACAGGTTTCAAGTTGGTTCTGGCTGATTCCAGAGATTGGTATAAACAACACGCTGGTTCAGCCAGTGGCAAGGAGCTAGAGCAGCGTTTAAGCCACATGGAATCCCTGGCGTCTGAAATTGCTGAGGCCAAAACGGCCACAGAAGAGTTGGATAATCAGATGGTAGAATGGAAGCAGGATTTTGGCTTGTTCTATGATAGCTGGCATGACATGAAGCAGGCTCTACAGGCTCTGATTCAACAGAGGGGTGGAGAAAGTCTTTCCAGGCAACTAAAGCAAGTTCAGGATTTCGTAACTAAAGTCTCAAATCAAAAGGTACGCGTTTCCAATTTGGAAATCATGCAAAAGCAACAGTATTTGCTTAATCAGTTGGTAGACGAACTAGAGTCCCTTCGGCCAACTTATGATAAATTACCCAAGCACCTGATTGGTGAGGAGCTACAAGCCACTTGGGAGAGACTTCCCGAGCAGCTCAATGAGCGTGTGATCAAGCAAACCACAGCCATTGAAAATCTAAATCACTTTGCAGCGGAATATAATGCCATTATAGCCATTTTGCGAAGTGCAGCGGAGTCGAAATTGGATGGCAGTCAAAGTGGTAGCAGTCAAGATCTTCGGAAACTGGAGATTGATGTGATAAGTGCAAGGAATTTCAGTGAAATTCTGATTAAGGAAGCAGAACCAGCTCAAAAGGAATCCCTGCAAGCACAAATAAGAGCCTTGAATACCTTATACGACCAAGTGGAGCAAGTTCATCGGGAGAAGAAGCAACAGCAGACGGTACTTCAATCCCAGATTGATCTCATCCAGCAGAGGCTCAAGAAAACTGATCAGTGGCTAACGGACTTGGAGAACAACACTCCCAAATCTGGAATCAACGACATAGGTAACTCCAATGAGCTATTCCAAAGCAAGTGCCGCTTTCAGACCCTCAAAGAAACCTGCGAAAAGGAAACGACACAGTTTAGGGAACTCAATGAACTGGGCGGTGAGCTACTTCTCCAAATGGATGAACTTCAAGATAAGGATAGAGAATCCAGATATGGATCACTGGCCAAGCAGTTCACACGCATCAATGCCAGATGGACGGAGGTCACCGAGCTGGTTTATGCGAAGACAGCCCTACTCGAGCATATATCAACGCAGCTGGGGGAGTTCAAGAAGTTCATGGTTAGCGAGACGGGTTACCTGGACAAGTTGGAGAACAAGATACGCAACACGCCAGAGAATGCAGCCGACGCCGAAGAGATCATGGAGGAACTTGATGTGAGTTATTTTTTTATTTTTTTATTATTATATTGCATGTTAAATCCCATTAATTTTGTTTTCCCTTAGGATCTGGAGAATGTTCTGCGCTCGCACTCTGAGGAATGGCTGGAGAAGATTCAGGAAATTGGCAATGAGCTAATTGACAACGAATTCATGGCCGAATCCATGCGAACGGGATATAGATGACATCGTCCAACGTTGGACTCAGCTCCAGCAGCAGGCGAAGAACCGAACCGAGCTCCTGGAACAAAAGGTCAGCGAGGCGGAGCAGTCGGAGAAGTGCATTGTGCAGTTTGAGAAGTGGCTGACCCGGGTGGATGAGATACTCAGCGAGCATCTGGAAAACGATGTGACCATTGAGGATCTGCCGGAAGATTTCCAGGTAAGAAGCGATACATTTTCCAAGAAATGACTACATTTTCGATTAATACGTGTAACAAAATGTATTTCCTTAACAGCGCTTAGCTCGCGAGTTTGTGGCCAATGAGAAAAACTTCAAAGAGATCAGCGAACTTATAGATGAGCACACGAGAAACGGCAAGGTCGGAGCTGCCAATCGCCTCCAGGAGCAGCTCAATCTGATGGAGGTTAGGTTCAAGTTCTGCCAGGCTAAGCTGAGCAAGTGCACCGCTCCACAACCTGCCTATGAATCGCGCTTGAACCGGGCCTATGCAGATCTGCGGGATGTGGAACGATCCACCTTGGTACTGGACGTAGCATCCGCTGGCCCGAATACGGTTCAGGCTCAGTACCAAAAGTGTTTGGTTAGTAGGATTTTCTTTCTGTCTTTTCGAATTTACTCATAATACTTTCTTCTCTTCATAATCCTTAGCACATTTATCGCACATTATCCGAGATAAAGGCGGAAATTGAGAGCACAATTAAAACCGGTCGCCGGGTTTGTGAGGACAGGTACACGAAATCCCCCAAGCAGCTGAGCCAGCGGATTGATGCCTTGAAGCACCTTTACAATGCCCTCGGAGAGAATGTGACCCAGTCCAAGGCATTCCTTGAGAGTCTGCTCACATTGGCGAGGCAATTAGAGGAGTGTTTCGATTCGGCTGATACCCTAATCCGACGCTTTGAGTCGCCACAGGAAGTGCACGATAGAAACTCCATACTATTGGAGTTTGAGGATGTGTTGCGAAGGTGCGAGGACCACTACAATGAGTACAGCAAGTCCTGTGACCAGAGCTGCATGGTAGAAACACGTCAGAGAATAGATGGCTTAAAGGCCACGTACCACAAGCTGACCAGTGCAGACATAATCAAGCGGCTTACCGAGATGAAGGCCACCCTGCAGAACCTGGACAATATTTCCTTGGAGACTTTAAGGTATGCTTGGTTATAGCATCTTGACATTATAGGTTTTTATTTAGTGTTTATAATTTTAAAAAACTGAACTTCTTGTAACTTCTTAACTCAATGTCGAACTAAGATTGATATAGCAATTTAGCAAACATAATACTAGATTAAGACCATTAAGCCTTCTCGTTTTAAGGATGTAGTAAACCCCTAATCTATTTCTTCACCTAGTAATTACAATCTTATTGCAGGGCAATGGAGCATGACCTGAAGGAGATAAATGTGCCCTCGAATCCGGAAATTGAGAAATTGCAGCAGCAAGTAATTGCAATTGTCGTGGTGAGTCGGACGGAGCTAGCAAACAAATCCCCTTAATTACGCCAAGCTTCCTCTCTTCCGCTCTGCAATGTCCTTTCTTTTTCCACCTGTACATAATATATGCTTTGCCATCCTTTCATTTTTCCTCATTCTGTGCTTGCTATCGGGTTTCCAGTTCCTGCTTTTCATTCATTTTTCGTCTTTATTTGCTTACCTCACATTTCGCTTTTACATCGGAGTCAGCTCACCACTTCCACTTCCACTTCTCATTTGCCATTACCATTTCGAGTCTGATTCTACTCGGACACCTTTTGGCCCGGCTCAAAGCGAATGGGTTTCCAGTTTCCCTCTGCTTTTACTCTTCTTCCTTCTGTTTCACATCATTGCTTCGACATCATTTGATTTATCAGAATGTACAGTTTGATTTAATGCGGAATCATTTCAAATTTAAATCGTAGTCAACAGCAAGGAAAATGGGATTCGAATTAGATTTCTAAAAATAAATTGGTTTTGTCGAAGAAAAGTTTGTGTCAAATCAAGAAACGAGAGGATTTGAATTAAACTCCTAAAAATAGGAATAGTTTTAACCCAACAAACCATTGCTCCTCTAACTTATTTACCAAATTCCTAAAATTAAATTTAACTTAGCAAAAATAAGAGGCTTAAACCAACTTTAAATATGTTTATATGTCTAAAAATAAAAATATAGTAATAAAATATAAATTTTTAATCCTATTAACTTTGAAAATCTAATTAATCAATCTAAAAAGCTAAAATCTGTAAAAAAAATATTAATAAAATTCCTTACCCTTCCCAATGCCAGAAACTGCTACTTACCATCTTTATTTTACTCAACCCATCATTGTTTTTATTTTTGCCAATTTCATAAACCATTAAATAATCTCTCCACCAAAAGCTAATCCAGATCCAACAACATTTACCCGTGTTGGTAAATGGCCAAAACCATCAAATCTACCATACATCACCCCAGCTAAAGAATAAACCATTATTATAAATATTAAATAATATAAAAACCAGAAATCACCGTATCACTAGAGCTCTACGGGGTCTAACTTTGGTGTCATTTTCACGCTTCCAACTTGTTAATGTTTAGAGTTTTATTACTTGGTCCCCCCTCTAATTGTTGTTGTGGCGTTTTGATTGGTTGTGGCTGCGTCAAATGTCCAAACCATAAATTACCCAAAAAACAACATAAACGTTATCCTTCCAAACCACCGCTCACCACCACCACCAATAATAAAATATAAAAAAATCCACCAAAAACCACCGCTCACCACCAAAACCAACGCTAATAAATGGCCACTGCTTTTTTAAACGGAGAATTTGTACCTAAATGTAAAAATATATCTATATAGGAGGGCTTCATGGGCTTTCAGAAATGCATTTGTTTAGTTTTTCGAAAGGCTACAGATTTTTGTAATTTATACCGAACTATGCATTTATCATGTAGGATGTGTTGAAAACGCGTTTCAATGAAGCCACAACGCTTGCCGCTAGAAATACGAATTCTCCAGAAAATGATGATACGGAAATTGTTATTGTCAGCGATACGGTGAGACAACGACGTGCCAGGACACCTCAGTCAGGGGAATCTCCTTCATCTGCCAATACCAGTACCTCAGAGTCTCCAACCAAGGGTGTGGAGAACGCCCCAGAGACGCTTGGCGACCAGGTCCTGCCGGATCTTCTGCCACCTCAAACATTCCGCCTAGCGGAGTCTAGCACTCTCTTCTCACAGATATCCCTAAATCCTGAAAAGATTTCAAAAACTCCACCACCAAAACCTGTGAAAACCAAACGAAAGGCTCCCACTTCCCCTGCCCAGGTGGTGGAGATCAAGGTCAAGAATATCCAAAATGATAAGATGTCGGTGCAGAATATTGATCTGGAACCACAGCAGGGAGAAATCGTAGACACCGTCAATATCCTGGAGAGTGTAGAACCTTTTGTACCCGAATATGTGGAGACTGTGCAGATTGTGGATCTCTCGGAGGACTCTGATTCTTCAGTTAGAGTTGATAGCCAAGGAAAGGAAGTTCGACGATCCAAAAGCAAGCATTCCCTAAATGATTCACCACTGCCCAAGGTCTCAGACAATGAAGATTCGGCGGAACAGGAAGAGGATCTTCTGCGTCCTTCAGCTGAGAATACTAGCACACCTTTCCTGAGAGTGGAGAAGCACCGAATCTCCTTTGATGAGAAACGCAAGCGGGTAGCCAACGAGCGTGATATCCTGCGTGATTCCGAGGAAGAAGAACCCAAAACACCAGATACTCCCCGGACACCACAAGTCTCCAAACCGAAACGTTGGCGACAACTCCAACCGGAAATGGACGCCCTGGAACCCGAGTCACCTGGTCGCGATAGTTTTTATAGTCCCGACAAAGAATCTGGTTTCGATGCTGAACCTCTCGTGTTTTCAGACGATGAGGATATTCCGCGTTTCTCGCTGGAAATGACACCAACCTTTGACTCCGATAGTGATACGGTAATTTGGTTGAATACCCCAAACAAATGTTCTTTTATTATTGTTTAAAATTTAATTTTAACTAAACTAATATTCTATTAATTATTCCTATAGAGTCGCATTGAGACGCCATCGACCAAAAAGCCCAACCCATTCTTAAGCAAAGGTCCTCGAATCGATGCCTTCACCTACGGATGATTCAAACATAACGCTCAAAAGCCCGCTGAGCGAACAGCAGCCCCAGAATCTGGATGATCGTGTCCGGGAGTTCGATAAGCAGGCCAAGCAAATGATCTACAAACTGAAGCTTACCAAGGCCAAGATCGAGCAGTGTCATGAAAGCGAAGCGTAAGAATTTTTGTTGAACAAGTTCTCAGGGATGTATAAAAATGTATAAAAATTACCCATTTAAGGTCACACTTTATTGAATACTTCAACTTAGTTAGCTGGGCACTCTTAAAAATCTGTTACTGTAAAGTTCGCCGTAAATACCAACTTGTTACTGAACTTATTTTTAAACTAAATATAACCTAAGCTTATTACCATAAACATGAGAATATGGCTAATATTGAGTGAGTTTTTTGTATATTTTGTAATATTTTTCGCAATAATACGACAAAAAGAGGCTTTACATTTACTAAGATACATGTTAACCAAATTTTTAATAATTCAAATGTTTCAGAGAGGATCTCCGCCTGCTAATAGCTCCCGATGCGGCCACCTTGATATCCCAGGGCGACTCTTTGGTCCTGGAAACCCATGGTAAACAGGGTAGCATATCCCGCCTCGTAATGCGCACTCAAATCATATTGCGAGAACAGTTCCGGGAAGTGCAGCAAGCTAAGTATGATTGTTTCTATAAAGAACTCTTTGTAGATTCCATTTGCTTAATGAGATTATTACCCCACAGATCGAAGACCTCGGGAAGTGGGACACCAGCTCCCCCATTGGACAGCGTGAATATTGAAGAACTCGTGACCAAGGGACTGCGTCGCATCAATGTTCTCATAGAAAAGACTGTGGATCTGAAGTCTAGCAGTGATCTTGAGAAGCGTATGGAGGATATCAACGTAAGTCTCTGGCAAGTGTCCAGATTCATGCTGGCAATGTCGCCGAAAATCAAAGCTAAATTACCTGTGCGAAACTACAATTAAATAACTTTTAATTAATCGCGGCAATTAGTCATACACTTGGACATTTTTCAAAAGGCGTCACATCTTTCGTCGACGCTTGCTCGTTTTCCTTTGCCGCAAGTTAATTGCCCTCTTGAGAATTTCAATGCATACATCTATATCGACGTACATATAGGCAGTGGCCACAATGGCTAAATGGGTCCATTAGAAGACCCAAAAATAAACAAATCTGACACAGTTGCACATCTGTGTGCAGTTGGAAGGCAAAGACTGATCATGGTATTTAGTGGGTCAGAAGAGATCGTAGGAGTAAGAGAGATCTTAAGAGAATTTTGCTCAGGCTGCTGAAGATTTTGTTGATGATAATGCTTGTTCTGAAGGGTTGGAGGGATAGGATTGGTTGTCATGTTGTATTAAATTAAAAACATTTCTCTTCAGAAATTTATGATCTATTGAAACATGAAAAGTTTTAATAGCGAGTGTCTTTCTGTATAAAAAAATACATCTCTTCTTTTGCTGTTATCTTATAAACCGCATTAAGTTCACATTTTCCAAATAAGTCAAACAGAGTCATGAATAAATTGCTGTTAAATAAATAGGAGATATATAAAAAAGTTGTGACAGCTTTTTGAGTATTTTCCATTTCCAAAGCTGTGACACATTTACCAAAAAAAAGCTGGCAAAAGTGAAACTTTTTATTCCCTAGATGCTAGTGCAGCATATGATGAATCTAATATTTTCAACAAGTTCCATCCCTAGACGGTAAAGTCATTAATCACTGCAATCATTTGTTGTTTATTTTTATATATTTTATTTATTCGGTTTTTTGTTTGATTTTATGGCACCAGCGAGCATGGCGACAAACGCCAGTGATTCTAAAAAAGCCGAAAAATGAAATCAAAAATAGAAAACATTTTGTGTTTTCCGAGAGGGAACAGAGACGCGAAAAACAAGAGAGCAATGTTTTGGGGAAAAACGAAAAGAAACATTTGAGGGAAACTAATTTGAAAGAGGGGCAAACATGTAAACTCTTCTCTTTGCCGGCGAATTGAGGGCTTTTGTTTTTATTCCAACCATATTTTTTGTTTGTGCCACTTTAGTCGCGTACCGTCTCGTTGGGCAAGCGGTTGCCGAGCTTTAAAATCTTTTTATATTTTTCGATGTGTGTTCGCCGTTCCTTTTGTTGACCCGGTGATTGATTGTAAATTTGCGGAAATTTCAGTTTGGCGCGCGAAGTGAAAATTCGGCAGGACTCTGTCCGCTGCAACTACTGCAACAGTTTGCATCGCGCTACATTGACGACCCACAAATGCAATTTTGTTGGTTGACAAACGCCGTCAAAGAGGTGGTAGGGTTTTTCACTATCCACACCCCAATATCCTCCCTGCAGTCCAGCTTCATTTGTTCTTTTCCCGGAGAGAGAGTCCCTGCATGATTGCAGTTGAAATTGAATTCCTTTCGCCGTTGGCTGCTCCTCTCCCAAGCGGTGGCCATTTTGTTCGCCCGTGTATGTTCGTTTGTTTCGACTTCCGTTTCCGCTTAAAGCATGCCATTTGTTCACCTTTCTCAAGAGTATCGAATGCAATTTATATATATGTATATACATACGTTCACTTTTTTATGTTTTTTACTGAGTACTTAAAGTCGATTAAATTTTCAGTTGATTTTCTGTTAAGTGAAGTTTGCTAAAAGGAATTTAAATCGAAAATTACGTAAAAAATGGGTTTCTCTTCTTTTCTTCTTTTCTTTTTTGTAATTTCTTTAACATAAAGTATCATTATTAAATATTATATTTAATATAATTATTTGGCACTTGAGTAAACTGCATAGTTATTTTTAGAAAACCGCTTTGTTTCATAAATCATTTACTATACGAATTTCAAAATCTCAAAATGACAAGTGATGAGTCTTAGCAACAGTGGAAAGTCTTCTATGAAAAACATAAACAAGACGCAATTCTTAATAAATAAATAAAATAACATTAGACTTGAACAGAAAAGTTATAGTTGATTATACCAAATAAAAATATATTTTAATTCCATTACAATTTTCATCATATTCCCCCTCCTGGTATCACCTGTACTTTCATCGTTTAAAATTCTTTCACCCATTGCAGGAGCGGCACGACGATTTACAGGTGATTGTCAGCGCCATTGGCAAGAACGCCCAGATGCCGAAGGTCACGCCCCTCATGATGAACGAAATTGAAAAGGTTTGCCCACACACATCCACACACTTTTCTGCCAATTGAACTCTTACATTCCGAATGGTTTGCCCTTTTCCAGACGAAAAACAATTTGATAGCTCATGCGGATTCCATTGAGCTCTCGTTGACGGAACTGAGAAATGGCCCCCGAATTTCCAATGGCAAGGAGCGACCAGATGCATCTAGTAGCCCCGCCATCAGCTGTCGTTCTGGTAAGCTGTTGGCCCACTCAATTGTTTGTAATAGTTTTTATATATCGGAAGCTTAGCTGGATCGCTTCCTAACCTAGGCCAATGTTCTTGTTGATTGCCAGCAAGTTGGATTGGCTTCAATTGTTTGGTTTACGCTTGAGTTGACTGCTTAAATGTAGACAAGCTGTCAAAGTTGACTTGGTCGAGTGGCCAAACTTAAAGGATGAGGATTAGTCGAGGGTGTTTATGTTGGCAGGAAAAGTATTTTATATCGTAAAGTGCTGATAGCAGTTGGTAATTTAATAAAATTTATTTTGTGGGCAATTTATAATTTATTAATGATAAAACTATGATAACATACCCTTATTTAATGTAAGGGCAGTAATGTAATTACCGAAAATGCCATATCAGAAACTTAAATTCATTTTATCGCCTACAAATATTAAATTTATATATCAGATTAATTACTTTCTATAATTGCATAAAAACATATGTTAGTTGTTCATTTCAATTTTTTTTTTTTTCTTTCCCATTATAAATCGTATTAAAATTCTAGTGTTTAATTCTACGCAAAAATTTTCAATTATTGAAATTTAATAACCTTTGCAATCATCTAGTGTCTGTACTTTTGCTGGCTAAATCATTTTAAACATTGGACGAGCAAAAACTTGAAACGAATGTGTATATGTAAAAAGCAAAAACTCTTGAAACAGCACGTACAAGTTTGCTATTTTTTCTGCGCTGTAATTTTGTTTTTGCAGTTTTATTTGAACTATGTATTGATTTACTTTTTAGCGGTTCAAATTTTGATATGAAACTTAAAAAGGAAGCTTTCATTGGAATCCCACTTGGTAAAAGTTTTTCATTGATATTGATCTATATATTATTTTTAAAATTATTAAGACCGCAGCCCCTTTTTTTTCTAGCCTACTCCACTTCCGTTTTTTGTTTATATTTTTATAGGGAAAAAGGGCAGCCAGAGATAGCTGGCAAATGTGCCATGTCAATGGCACTTTTGACATTTATGTGAATGTTTTCGGTGTTGACTTACCCAGTGGGAGATGGGTGGGTGGCATTTCCCCCTCATGTTGTAGACCCCTTTTCTTGTTTTCGTAACAGATGCAGACATATGTTTTTGAATATTTTGCATGTTTTCGAAGTTGGAGAGAAGAAAGCATAACATTTTCAAGAACATTTTACTCTTTAAATGATAATCATAAAATAAATATTAACACAATTTTAATGCAGAAAGCCTTTTAACTTTTATTTCATAATCTTCTAACATATACTGAGTCAAATAGGCTGACCAAAAATTTTCACAATTCAATCTCGAAATACTTTGAATGAACTCAGAAATCTTGCTTTTCAACTAGCAAGACTGCTAAAGCTTAAAATATTTTGGTTACCTCAACATTCATGCTAGTTAAGTTACCGGAAATCCTTGTAGCTGACGGGTTTTTGGTCCTTGTTAGTATTAATTATTGATCCCGATGGACTCGTTAATTCAGATCCGCGGCTAAGTAACCGAGTCATGGTAACCTGATTGTTGGATATTTTTATCAGGCCCTGGGATTTCATATATTTCTCCATTTCCATTTTTGCCTTCTGCGCGAAATGCGCACTCTTGTCGGAAAACTCGTAGCTCTCCATTGGTGATGCCATCATCACATTACTCATTTTTCTACCTTGTTTTGCAATGGTAAACTCGCCCTCGTTGAATAACCGTCGTCGTTCTGCGAAACTTAACAGAGGCTTCTTTAGATTCAAAGATGACGAACTCTCTGAGGCATCGAAATCCATTTTGGTCAAGCGAGAACTCAACCTCTTACTGACCATTTCTCCAATTGGCGGAGAGTCCTCCTCGTGAGGTGGCGAGTCAAAATTGTGGACAGCTGTTGATAGAAGGACTTTCTTTTTCTTGGACTTTCGTACGGACCGGTGGATTTGCTGGCTTAGGATCTGGAGGCAGCTTAAGCTGCTCATTTATATCGGTCAGGCGACGAGCTAGCATCTTTGCGTTCAGAGCCACGCCTTTGTTTGGATGAGGTGTGCCGACAGACAGCATTTCCTTGTAAGTTTCTTTGGCTTGCGAGAAGCGACGAAAAACGTTGACCTGGCGGTTGAAAAATATACAAATAATTTCATTATTTATATAAAAACCATTTTTTGTATAAAAAATTTTAAAGTTCCTAACTGAAGAAGAATTTGAGAACAAATTAATATTAACTTTCACGTTGAACTATAAAATATAGTTCGTAAGATACTCTAAAAAACGTCCTTTCATTGCAAAACATACTTTTGCGTTATTAATGCTTGAATGCTGGGAATCCATATCGCTGAAACTAGGGCTTTGGTCCAATTTTACCGAGGTGTTTGAAGACGTTCGTCTTCTCTCGTAATCTCGGCGCATTGTTAGCCGAGCCTTTAGTAAAGTGGCATCGATTCCTGGTTGGGCTCGTGGAAATGGAGTTGAACTTTTATTCGTCGATCGCATTAGTCCATAGTCCCTGGTTGAAATAGGTAATTGTTCGGTGGCACGAAATTTTAGTTTGCTTATCTTCGGTAATCCAAGGAGAATATTCTTTTTCGCCAACGAAGTGTTAAGCTTGGGCTTAATGTCTTCATTTTGTGATTTCTGCATGATTTTCGCGTTTTAGTTATAAAAATGTTGATTTTTGAGTTGTTTTATTTTTGGTGTAAGTGTTTTGTTGTGTCTTATTGTATTATTTCAGTTTTAGTTTCTTTTTCTCGAGGAATTTCCTTTAAAAATGACAAATACAAACATGAATATTGGATGTGTAATTTGAATTGTTCGCGGACAGAAGCTAGTCGCTAATAAACTATGTTTAGTGTTGCGGAAATCCAATAGGTGTCGCTCTATCAAACATGTAGATGTCAAAAGTTAAGAACTAAATGTTAAACTAATAAAATATTAAAATACAATTTAAAATTAAATTAAAATAATTTCTTAAAGTAATATGTTAAATTAAATATTTCTGTAATGTAAAGAACATTTACAATGAGTTTTGGTTTTGTTATTGGGAATTCGAGGCTTTTTTGTAGCTTTTCTGCCGAGTTTCTTCTAAACTTTTTCTTAGCTTTTCGTTTTGGCCGTTTTAATCAGCTGTTGGCCACAAACAAGGAAACATTTTAAAATAAATCGTTCAGCGGCAAGGAAGTAAACAAGTCGCCAAAGTGGAAGTGATTATATTAAGGATTTTTTAGGAATCGAAAGTGTTTAGAAAACTTTAGTTATTTTAAAGATATGTTACAAATATTTAATGGGAAGTGATAAATGTATAACAGTAATTAAAAAATGCATTAAAAAGCCAAACAGTTATTTGCCCTTCAAACAAATATTCAAAAAATTTTTTTTAAAGAAGTAATTAAACAGCGAAATCGGTTAAACAATATTTTTAACTTAATGTGTAATTACAAAATTAACCTAAAAAGTGGATTTTAAACAATCTTAAACTGTGTGAAATAAACAACTTTTTAAATTTTGTAGACTTTCTCAAAATGAATGCCAAAAAATAATAAATATTAATGGCTGTTTACCGGATTACTTTTGGGTAAATAAAAGCGTAACGATTTTCCCAAAATAAATACCCATTTAAAAACCCATCAAGGTCATAATTCATACAAAATGAAAACTTTAAAACGACTTTCCTTTCCGCCAAAATGTCACTGTGATTGTCTTAAAGTCCTTTTTTTTTTACTTTCTCCAAAGGAAAGGAGGAAGGAAGACGGTTCTCAGTTGAGTGACAACTGAAAGGCAGTTTGGGGAAGAAGGAGTCCAGAATTTCACGCTTTCTTTGGCTTTTAATGAATTATGACATTTTCCTGGTAGAGCCCGTTTACTTTTAACGATAGAAGTGGGCGTGTAAAGAGAAGAAAAATGAGGGAAATGTTATCAGTGCTTTTCCTTTTCTGTGTGTTTTATTTTCTGTTTTATTTTTTTTATTTTATATATTTTCTACCACTTTGCACCTGTACAGTGAATGCCCCAAAAGGGGTGTGTGTGTGTTTGGGTGTGTGGAGCCTACCATGGGAACATTCATCAGAATGAGTGAAAAGAAATTTTACACTTAACGTGTTTCCACTGCTACTTCACCGTGTTTTCATGCCAGGTGTGTGATTGTGTGGTTGTCAGCGATGTTATTATTCCTTTCTGCTTTTTTTTTTATTCCATTCCAACGGAAAATATATGCACTGGTAAAAACGATCTTCTAGCAAAACCTAAGCATGCATTTACTTGAAAAATATTGAAAGTATTTAAAGGCCTTTGAAGAACATTATTGGCTTGAATGTTGAGACTGACAACCATCCTTTTAAAACTTTAACATTTCCCTATATTTCTCGAGCTAATACAAATTTTTTAAACATTTTTCCCAGTGCATATATTTGCTTAACAGCTTCTTGGGAGCTTGGAACTCGCATTCATTCAGTCGCTCACTCACTGAAAATGCTTTCAGACGCCTCAACTTGACACGGCCTGCCTTCGGTGTCCCATGTCCGATGAATCCCATTGGCGGTGGTGGCCAGGACAGTTTTAGCTGTCCTCCTTGGACTTGGCATTTGTCGCCCAAATCCCCTGTCCTTGCAGACCAGCCTAATCCTGCGAATCCTGGACACTGCGAAAACTACAAAACCAAAACAGTACGAAAAAAAAGAAGACAAGAAAAAAGCCAATGTGTCCCTTCTTTTTCGGTTTAGTTTAGTTTGTTTTGGTTTTGTTTTCACGGATTATTGGCAAACTCAGGCCTTGTGAAACTTTCATAACTGTCAGAAGGGCCTCCCTTTTGTCCTCCCAACCCACCTGCTCCCTTTTCTTCTTTTCTTGCTTTCCTCCTTTCGGTTCCTTTGCTCTGCGCCTACTTAAGCTTTTCTTTACATTTTCCTTTCGACTCTTTTTACTCAAGTATTTCAAGTGTTTCCCCGTTGCTTTTTCAAGTTCTGAAATATTTGCACCATGGTTTCCTCTGAATGGGTTGCAATTGAAAATTGCCATTTAATAGAAGAACGTTGAAGGGAAAGCTGTGTGAAAATAATGCAAGGGGATCGAACTCGGGTGCGAGGGGTTAGAATAATATTATTATATGTGCTGCACTCCTCTCGAGCTTAGTTCATTGTTATACGTTGTCATTGCTTTGACATCAGTTCAAGATTCTTCTGGAGGTTACAGAGGGTGATAAAATGTTTATTTAATGGTTTAAGCAAATGCGATTTTTATGCGTTTAAGGGCTTTAAATTTTCTTAAGAATGCAAAAAGTGTGAAGAAAAGTACTTTGATTGTGGAAGTTTCACGGATTTATTTCGAAAGGAGATTTTTGAATTATTACCACCCAAAAATGATTAATATTTCCCGTAACAAACTGAAATAGTTTAAGTTAAGTTTTAAAATTTATATTAGATTTTCATTCTCTCATCTCTCACCCACCCCACTGTGCATCCATCAACCAAGATACTTGAAACTTTTGCTTCATTGAAATAGTTTTTCATTTACTTGCCTTTTGCTGAAATGTGCAACAAAGTCAAGAGAGAGAGGAGGACAAGAGTGGTAAGAAACACCAGAAAGAATGAAAGAAAAATAGTAGATAAATGTAAAAAAGGGAGGAGGAGGAAAATTTAGAATTCAATATGCAGAGCTATACAGTGACCCCGATAAGTATGCCACCAAGTAATGGTCAGTCAGGCAGAGTGAAAACCGCAGCTGGTGCTGTTTAATGAGTAGCCCCATCATCAGCAGTGACACACAATCCTGTGTGTGTGTGTGTGTGAATGTGGGTCTGGTTAAAAGGACACGCTAATTAGCAAGAAGTCTTCTTCTACGCTTCGTGTTTTCTCCTTTTTTTCTTTCTTTTTCCAAACCCATTTCAATTTGTCCCATTTTTTTTCCCTGTTGCAGAATACAATAACGAGCCGAGCGGTACTGGAGCGTTGGCCGGCAGCTTCGATAAGTCAGTCCTGCAAATTTCCGACTGGCTGACTTGGGAACAAAACATGATCAAGATACAGAGCGTGCTCGTCGACGATGGCGATGCAGTGCGACTGGCCATCGAGAAGCAGGAGGTGCGTAGCCTGAAACACACCCATCCTTGGTCCACACCCATATCCACTTTATCATATCTTCCCTTCTTTTATTTTTTCGTTTTTCCTTCACAGAAAGTTCTGCGTGAATTGAAAATGAAAAAGCCGCAGCTCAACGAACTGGTTCATACGGCGGAAGTGCTCAAAGGCGACGTGAAACGCCAGCAATTGCAGGAGAAAGGTGAGTCCTTTCGGGGGTCTTTCACTTAATGGGTAGATTGGGGTTTTCTGGGGTCATTGATTGAGATATTCTGATGATTTTATGGTGAAATATACCTTTTAAGCAGTCATATATTCACTTGGCTTCGTTTTAGAAGCCATATGAATCTTAATTATATCTTAAATGAAAAGCTATTCCTCCCTTATGAACTTTATAATCTAAGCTTTCTCTACAATCTCCAAATACCAATTATCTCATGAGACATAATTAATTTGATTAGCCTCACTTAATTACGCCACTGAGGAAGCATTAGCCAAATAGTTTTTCATCTCCTCAATTTGCGAGTGTATTTTCGAATCTCAATTAATTTTCGAACGAGATTGTGCAAATTGGCTCACATATGGAAATTTCATTAGGCCTTGTTAGCCGTTGTGTCTCTGCTGCTGCTGCCAAGGGGATTCCAGTTTGCTGATGTCAGTGAAACACGGATCCATTTCCTTTTGCAGCCAAAACGCCCAGTGACCCCCCTTCTTGCCTGCCCCCCTCACAAAAACCAGAAATCACTACGGTGCAAACAAATTTCCGCCGGGCGAGACAAAATGCATGCATAGATATGGTGGGGGAAAATGGAAAAGCAGGGAAAGCGGGCAAGAGGGGAATAGCGAGACATATGAGTTTTGTAGCGAAAACAGCAACAGACACCAACGGATGGCCACTTAAAATTGCTAGCTCAGTCAGGGGAATGTTTTTGAAGGGGGTTTCCAGAGTCGGAGGAGGTTAGAGGTTAGGGGCATTGTGGTTAAGGGGGACGAGGACTGTCAACATTTGCATAACGGGGCCGTGAACCTCGGTAGCCGGTTCCGATTCAAAAAACTCCTCTTTAAATTGTCTGCCTCAAAACAATGTCACACACACACACACACCCACTCACAGAAAAACTCACACAAAGACCAGAAAAGTATAAAGACGATGGACAAAAGAGAAAGAGTACCGCGTGCTTGTTAAACAAATGATTGCATACTTTCAGGTCGTGGTGAGTCCTGCAGTTTGACAGCCACTGAACTAAGAGCATATTCGCTCTTTGGAGAGAATTCTTTCCTTGCTCTTTTATTATTTGCCTTTTTCTCTGCGGAATTTTAATGTGGCAGTTGAGCAAGCGGCATGCAACATTTATGCCAGTTGACATTTAATTGACAAGCGAGGCAGCCTGCGGGGGAAATGGGAAAAGCATCCAGCTCAGCCCAGCCGGATGCTAACTGAAATATTTTTATGCTCTTTGGGACTGGAGTGGGATTTTCCAGGGGCTGAGAATGTTGATGAGTTGGGGGAGTTGGCTGCACTGCTTGTTACACATTATTATGATGTTTGGTTTGTCATAAACATTTGTAGCTTGTCCGCCACGTTCTCCCATCTCCTGGCCATTTGTACGTGCATTTCAGCCTTATTTTCCCCTGCTGCATAGAAGTGTTTTTGTGTGTGTGGGTGGCGTTGGTGTTTCAGGCGGGTAGCCATCTGTTTGGGCCCTTTGTAATGGAGATGCCAACAGTTGCTTGCACTAAGTTTTATTCTCGTTTTTTTCTGGCCTCCTGTATGCCGTGCAGTTGCACATACTTTATGCCATTGTTTGAATTTTGAAACTTCATATTTAGAAGGATTAAATAAGGGAAAATGTTGATTAGTGTAAAGTTGTTAGCATTTGTTACAAGTTAATGCAGCTGAAATCTATTTTTACATATTTTTAAAGTCAATCTTGTAGTTTACACATTTTTAAATCTTAGAGTTTCAAAGTAAAAAAAATATTAACAATTAAGTTATATACTAATCTAAATTATATACTTATTTACATTTTTAAATAATGTATATAATTTCTCTTAGTTAAACTTAATATTAAGTTTTACTTTTAAACATTCTTTAAGTAGTTTTAGTTTACTAGAATAGAGCATTTCTAAATTTTTTAAAGGTTTTTCCGTACTTACCGGTTGCCATCAGCGGTTGGCAGAAAGCCAAAACCGAAAATTTGGCCATTCGTCTGGCATTGTATTTCAATTTGGTCTTCAAAAACAGTTTAGGATTTCCCAGGGAAAAAGAGGTCATAGCCAGGCCTAGTTTATTATCTGTAAGTGGGGGTGGGGGCTGGAAAAGTTGTTGGAAATGAAGCAAAGCGCGCCAATTAATTACGTATTTTGTAAAGTGAAGCTTAATTAAGCCATTATTCATTATCTCGTTCGCTGTTTTTGCCCTTTCTCTTTCGCCACCGTCTAGCTGCACCTTATTTTTGCCTTCTTCTTTTTTTTTTGGGCCAGAAGTCGCACAAACTTTTTGCCAACCCAAATGACCCCAAAGTCCTTATCATAAATAAAATGCCAACCCACAAGGAGTGTATGTGTATGGGTGTCTGAGTATAGAATGTGTGTGTGTGTGCGTTGAGGTTGGCTCGTAAATCTGTCTTTGACATGCAATTTCAGTGCAGCGGCTGTTGCTGCAACTTGGCCAACAACAGCCACAACAGCAAGTCTCCCTCCAACCGACAACAACTCACTGCGAGCCATATTATCTGAAAGGACAACGCACTCAGTTGGCCAAGCACAGGCTCAGTGGCTCTCCTCCCCTCCGCCCCCCTTTCAACTTTTCAACCCAACCACCCCCTTTTTCTTGTGTTTTGGCGCTATACACGCCCGCTTCACGCCATTACACGCTTTAATAGGCCTTCCCCCTTATTTTACCTCCCCCTTAAAAAAGGCAGTCCTCCCCTTCCTCTAGCAGTTGCAGAAAACCCCCTTCTTTATCTAAAGTTGGCTCTCCCCTTGTTCGGGCGCTTTCTTTTCAATGGTTTGGCATAGCTTCCTGGCATGTGTCTGCGCTTTCAAGAAGTTCGTTGCTTTTGATACCCTACTTTAAGGTGGTAGTTAACATGGCTTTTTGAATAAGATAAAACCAAAAGGTAGTATAAAAGAATATTTTAAAAAGTTAAGAGAAAAAGGATAAATGGGTACATGAATTAATTTCTATTTATAAGTGAAAATATTTCTGTCCATTCAGAAGTGAAACTCAGAATTAAGCTAAGTTATTAATTAATAGTTTCAATGAAATACAGTATTAAAATCGAAATATTCAAAATCGCTTACTTAAATATGTTTATTTAAATATTCAAAAAGAAATAACATTCGACAGATTTTTGTTATTTTTTACATAAAATGTTCTTTTCATATTATTTTTTTTTAATAGTTATTATTTGAAACTTAACATGTATATTTGAAGATGTTGAAGTTGAAATTGAAAAATATTATATAACAAATATAGGTTATTTCTTATACGATTAATTTTCCTTAAGTTTTTGAAATATTTTATAACAGCTGCAAATCTGTTCTCGCTATTTCAAACGACCTAAAAATGTATTAGTAATTTTTTCCCCACAAATAACCTATATTATTAATAATAAAATTTCTTTTTTATTACTCCAAAGGTATTCGAGAGTCAGTAATCTTCTATTTAAATTCTTCGCGTCTTGTTACTTTTTTTAATTACTCAAAAAAGTGAAGTGAAGCAGAGTCTCTCCTATGGCTGCTTAACCTCAGACCTTTTATGACACAAAGGCACCCCGGTTCACCCGGCCGCCTCCTGGCCACGCCCCTCTACCCCTCGTTCTTAGGATTTAAGTTAGCATTAAGTGAAATTATTGTCATGGTTGTTAGACTTTTAGCATCGGCTTTTGAGCCTTTTTAGTCCGACGAGTTATTTTCGCTAAAATAGTTTGGCGCACGAACAAATTTTGTTTTTTTGTGCAACGAAAATATGCGGAAAATTTGTCTAAACATTGCAGGTTTTATAGGTGCGCTTCTGGGAAACTTTTAAAAAGTGTGTGTTTGGTTGCGTGTGCTGCAGAAAAATGAAATTCCAGTTCTCAACAAACTGCAAAAAAAAAAAAGGATAAAGGATGTGGGAAAGGAGTAAAAAAGGTGCCGACCCCATGCACTCACTCATTACGCAAATTGTCCTGGGCTACGTGTCCTGTTCCTTCTGGTCTTTCTCTCTCTCACTTTCTGTGTCTGTGTTTTTGTCTCTGGGCATCTCATATGACCGAAATGCCGTTAACAATTTTCGTTGTCTAATGAATTTTAATTAAATTCATTAAAAAGGTTGCACTCATTGTCCCTCTAAGGACATAACAATGAAGTTGTGGTCTCTGTCAGGCCGCAGGATATTTGCATTTACGAAATAATTTATGATTCATGAATGGTTTAAGTGTTGTTTGTTTTTTGTCTTGAATACATTTGAATATTACTGGAAATATAAACTTAAAGCTGAATCAAATCTAAAGGAGTGCGGTTCTTTATGGATTTTTTCTTTAAGTAAGAAGATTGACTCTCATTTTGAGTTTACATTAAAGTAAACGCTTCATAAATCAAGCTAGTTAAAAGTAAAGCTTAGTTGAAAAAATAAGAAATTATTTATCTTGAAAGTCCTATTTGCATCTCCTTCATCTGCATTTTCCAAGAACATCTAATTAACATCCTTCGAACTAGTTTCTTCAACTAGTTTCTTTGCCAACAATCCCATAAATGGCTTTCTTATCATTCGACAGCCACCCACATTTGTCCTCTCATATTTTTCTTCGACTAATTAAGGCCAATGCACACTAAGCATTTTTCTGGGCTGCGCAACCCATAAAGGAAAATCTACATCTAAAGCCACAATAACATAAACATCAAATTCCATCAATGGCACAACGAACCGCTCAATCTCCTCGCATCCCCTCTCTCTCTCTCTCTCTCTGTATAACTATACCTATCTCTTTCGTGGGAGCAGAGGGTGCTGCTGCTGCAACCCTGTGCAAAAATAATCCTTATCAGTTGTCAAGGTTCAGAGACGTACGCACAACATGTGGCAGGAAGGTTGAATGTCTTCCGGCTAAATCGCATGGCAATGCGCATGTTCCCCACGGAACCCTAGCAAAACAAATGCCAGTGGATCCGGAGAGCGGACGGAGAACTCTAATGGAATGCCGGTGAACTCAATATACA